CCATATGCTTTCTTGTGCTATGTTTCACCTTCGGCCTGCTCATGTGCCGCCCGAGCCATCCTGGTCTTTGTACAGGGTGCTCTCCTATCATTCTTCTCCTCGGTTTGTGGTGGCCCCATCGATTCAAGATTGTTTTTCCAAGGCTTTGTTTTTGTTGGCATTGGCCTCTGGGGGTCAGGTAGGGGAGCTTCATGCTCTCCTCCGGCGCAGGGGTTTCTGCTCTTTTGGTCCTGGGGTAGGTTTGTACGTTTGCAGCCTTCTCCATCTTTTCTGGTAAAGAATGAGATGGTTGCTTCCCGGAGGGGTCCGTGGGTAATTGATGCTTGGTTGGTTCAGCCGGGGGTACATCATGTGTTGTCTGGTTGCGGCTCTTCGCCGTTACCTGTGCGCCTCGGCTGGAGTAGCTGGGAATGCGCTTTGGGTTGATCCTGTTTCCCTTGTTCCCTGTTCCAGGGCTCGGGTCTCCCAGGTTGTCCGCATGGTTATTAAGTCTAGCCAGCCTGCGGTCTATCCTCGCGCCCATGATGTTCGGAAGTTTATAGCTTTGGCTGCTGTGTTTGGTAACAAGTCTTGGGCTCATATTTGGGTGGGTGGATTTTGGAAGTCGAACAGGGTCCTGGCCGCCCGTTATTTGGTGAATGTGCCTGCTCCTCGACATCCTTGTGTTGCTTTGGGTCACAGGTTGTAACCAGTTGTCTTGACTTTGGGTTGAGGAGTTTGTGGCTGCCACCTCCCGGTTAAGTCCCTATTTTCCTTCTCTTTGGGTATGTAGCTCCAGGGAGCAGTAGAGGCTCCCATAGAAAACCAGCGTTGAATGTAATGAAACGCCATTTTTTGGGTGAGCCTCGGAGGCTCCCTGGCAACCCTCCCTCCCACTGGTCAGCGGTTTTCTCGTGTTGGTTGAAGCCTAGTTTCCGAACCGAAGGCAGCCGGCATGGTGAGGTCCAGGACCCCCCCCCCCCCTCTCGGGGAGGGGAGGGCTGTGCGGCTGACCAGCACGGCAGTAAATTGTGATAATTGCTTGTTTGCTTATTTCCTTGGGATTGTAGGGCGTTTCTACCTCTGTTCGGTTTTTTGTTTTAGTTTCTTACCATGTGTGGTTTGTTTTGTTATGCCTTCATCTCTGGGTGCCTAACCCCAGTCGATGGTAGATAAGGAAAACCTCCAATCACAAGGGGGTTTGTCAGGGCCATTGCTCCCTGAAACCTCTCTGAAGGGGCCAGGTTAAGGCGCTGGTCCTTGGTAGGTCTGAACTCCATAGCTAATATCCTGGTTCAATATAACATACATTAGCCCGATAAGCTCAAGGAAGCCTCCGGGGCTCACCAAGAAAATGGCGTTTCATTACATTTAACGCTGTTTTTTTTGGGCTGTTCTGGTTTTTCTAGAAGGACCAACCACCTGGCTGGATGGTAGAGCAGCAATCTCGCTTCATGCAGGTCGACATTCAATCTCTGACTGTCCAAGTGGTTGGGCACCGTTCCTTTTCCCTGTCTCATCCAAACTCCTTATCCTGATACCTTCCAAGTATATGTATATATATAGTTGTAATGGGAGCCACAAGGGGCGCTCCCTAGGAAAGCAGAGTAAAGAGGAGAGGCTTTGGAAGAAGGGGCCAGCTAGAAGTAAGAAAATCATGAAACGTTCGCAAGGCCAGACAGCTTGTCTGCCTCCATACCTGAAATGGAAGAAGCCATTTCCAGAGAAGGCTGAGCCACACCCCAAGCAAAACCCTGCCATAATTCCAAAACCCTCAAAGGTATTGAAGTTGGAAGCACGGAAGAAGGAACAAAAACCAGGTGGCTTCTCTTCCTTCCCTTTCTACACCCAAATGGTAAAGGAAGAGGAGGCAAGAATAGAACCAACATGAAATTCACTAACACCTCCAACTCTGGGTCCCTAAAAACAAGACAAGCCAACTCCAGGGAATCCAATCAAAGTTGCAAATGCAGAAGATGGGCAAAGTGAACCTGCAAGGTAGCAACTGCCTGATAATTCAATTCAATTCAATATTTATTCAGGTAAGGTACATACATACAAGGTAAAATACAAAAAGTTGATGGATTTATAGATAGAGGTAGTACATACAATGCCTAAAGCCACTATTACGCAAAGCTTTTCGGGCAAGAAAAACACTAAGATTAAAACTTAATACTAATTGAGATTAAAGCATAAATTGTGTTGAGAAAAAATAAGAAAAAATGAAAAGAAAGGGGGGTGGGGGGAAAACATGGCAGAAAAAAAAGCAAAAATACAATTTGGTCAACAAACAGCAGTTTCAAGTAGTAGACAGGGGTTGACATTTTGGGGGTGAGGTAGGTTACATGGAGTTAATAACGTAGTACTTTGTTCTTATCTAGAACTGGTTGGGAGAGGTACAGTCTTTAACATAATTGGGAAGGTCATTCCACATTCGAGGTCCCTTGATTTGTAAAGCATTTCTAGTTTGATTAAGTCGTACTCTTGGAATATCAAATAGGTATTTGTTTCTGGTGTGGTGCTCATGGGATCTGTTACAACCTTCTAGGAAGCTTTTAAGGTCAGGATTGACATTACAGTTCAGCGTTTTATATACATAAAATACACATGAGAGAATGTGCAGTGACTTAATATCTAACATATTCAGAGATTTGAGTAAGGGTACCGAGTGATGTCTGGGGCCAGAGTTAGATATTGGGTTATATTGGGTAACCAATACTATGGTTGTTATTGTCCTAATAGCAGCTTTATGTTGAGTAGTTAGAGGACGTAAATGATTTTGGGTAGTTGAACCCCAAGCACAAATACCATAGTTGAGATAAGGATAGATGAGAGAATAATAGTGTCACCAGGGCAGGGCGAGGTACATAATATCTGATCTTAGAAAGAATGCCAACAGTTTTTAATTTTTTTTTATATATTTAGAATGTGTCCCTGGAAATTCAGCTTGCGGTCAATGAGAACGCCAAGGAATTTGCCATCTACTTTGTTACAAATTTTGGTATTGTTAATCCTGAGATTCATTTGATTTGAGGATTTATTGCCAAACAAAATATAGAAAGTTTTGTCAATAGTGAGGGTGAGTTTGTTGGCAGTTAGCCAGTGATGGACTTTATTTAGCTCAGTATTCACTGTGACATTTAGAGCAAGGGGGTCAGGACTGGAGTAAATGAAGGTCGTTGTCGTCAACAAAGAGAATTGGTTTGAGATGTTGGGAGGCATTTGGAAGGTCAATAATGTAGATGAGAAAGAGGAGAGCGCCAAGTATGCTGCCTTGGGGAACATCAATGCTGATGGGTAGGGTGGGAGAAATTGAAATTGATTGAAATAATGAAGAAATGAAATAAGATTGTTTCAATTGGAGGGTCAAAACAAAGAGCCAACTGGAAGAACAAACCCCACTAGACTTGGGGTCATGGGTGTCACTGACCCAACAGGCAGCATGGCAGACACAGAAAGAATAAATTTCACCCTGAGGCACAGATGACAAACAGTTCTCAAACTCACACAAGGCAAGAGCAGATTCAGAGGATATATCGACAAGCCACATTGGTAAAATGTGGTAAATTCTGGTAAATTCTGGTAAATTCTGGTAAAACTCATTCACATTCTGGTAAAACCCAAAGGGAATTACCAGAACCCAAAGGACTGCCCAAACAGGACACTCAGGCACCGGGGATGCTCACTGGGAATTATAGAAGTAGACCGATTTAATGCGGCTGTGAAGGTGAACCTCAGCATTCAAATTCAAATTGTATTCAAAAGAATGTGTGTACAAAGAACATAGGAGTAATATAAAATTGTGGGGACAGAAGTTACACATACTAATAAAGCCACTACTATTCAAAGTGTTTTGGGCAAAACTTAAAATAATTTAGGAAAATTTAATTAATTAAAAATGTAAGGGAGGTAAGCACCTAAGTTTAAAAAAGAAGTAAGCAAATAAAAATGAGAGAGTTCAAGAAAAAATCAAATGAATACAATTTAAAGGTGATTCTAAATGATGATAGCCATAGACTGTCATCATTACTTTAATAGTTTACTTAGACTGTCATCAATAGTACAGTAGTTTATTTACATTAATAACAGAATGGAAATACTAAGGTGTAATTTTGAAAAGCAACTGAACGTAACAGAACACATAGTATAATATAGTATAATTTAAGTTTAATGGGGGTCAACACTTAAAAATAAACAAGGCTCATAAGGGACATGAATAAACACTTTATCAAAACAATGCAAGATTTAGATGACATAGTGAAAGAGGACATATTTCTTAGTAAATAAAAATTTAAGATAAGAGTAAACAGAAAAATAGTTTAATATGAGGGAAAATGTGAGTTAAACTAATTACATGGTATTGATTATAAGATATTACATGATATTAAGTAAACATTTCTTAGTCTCTCTTTTACACTGGTTGAGAGACATACAAATATTAATTACATTTGGGAGATCACTCCATAATTTGGGACCCCTTGATTTGTATTGTATTTCTGCTTTGTTTGGTCTAGCTCTAGGAATGTCAGATATATTTGTTCCATGTGTTGTGACGATGAGTTCTGTTACAGCCTTCTGGGAAGTGTTTAAGGTCAGGATTGGCATTCCAGTACAGAGTTTTATAGATATAGAGAATGTTTGAGAGTATGTGCAGACTTAATATTTAACATGTTCAAAGATTTCAGTAAGGGAGCAAAGAAGATTCTGGTCCTGGTCCACGGAGGAGCTTGTGATTCATAAGGGTGTGTTGGGTTGCTCTAGGCTTAGAGCTGTCCAGGCAGGTGGCTTCAGGGAGCCCCTTGGAGGAAGACCTCCCAGAAATAAATAATAAGACTAAATGAAAAAGATGAAAAAGCAGTCACTGCATGCTTAATAAATGAGTTTTAGGAGCAACACTGAATTTCCTATACTGTACAGGGTGTCCCTGATTAGCTATCTATTTATATAAAATTGGATTAATTTGTTTAAATACTTGTTGTTTATTGAGGTCTATCATATTTAATGTGTTATAAAAAAATAAAAAATCTTAATTATTTAATCTCTTTTCAGAACCATAACCCTAATAATGAATACACAAGACCACACTTTAGCTGTCATGTCGTATCAAAAGATTGCAATATAACGGTAATCAGAGAAAGATTTACAAGGAAATGTCATCGAATTGGTCCTACACACAAAGCAATTCATGAATGTTTGAACAAATTGAAAAGTACTGGATCTGTATAAAATGTGTTTTGTAATGCTAAGGTTAAATTTGAAACATGCAGGGATTCAAACGGAGGACATGTTTAAAGTTCAAAATAAAGATTTGACTTACAATTTATAAATCTTTGTTTTTGTATCAAAATTAGATAAAACATTAAATTATGTAGGTTTTAAATAGATTTGTCCATAGAAAAATTTGTTCATAGAAATAGCTAATTCTGGAATACACTATACAGTAGTCTAAAGTAAAACTCACACAACTGTTCATAAGAACATTTATTATTATAGCTCAATAACCAATGAATGAACTTTCACACACACAATTCAACTAATACATTTTCTGAAAAATATAAATCTATGGTTATTAATTAGTATTACTCTTTAGCAACTAGCAACCTGCGATGTTTGTGCAGCAAAGGTATGACGACTTGCCTCACCCGGGATGGGAAACTGTCATCTCCAAATTAACACTGGATGCTTCAAGATTAAGTACTCTGAATTTTGTGTCAGGCCATAGCACTTCCAACCTGAAAACATGAAAACTAATTATTATTTAATTTTAATATATAAACAATCATACAATTCTGAGTACTCCTACATTCAGAAACATGTAAAAACAAGTAAGGGGTATTTTATCTTCTGATGATTAAAACTGGTTGATAGGATTTAATCTTCTGATGATTAAAACGGGTTGACAGGATTTTATCTTCTGATGATTAAAACTGGTTGACAGGATTTTATCTTCTGATGATTAAAACTGGTTGACAGGATTTTATCTTCTGATTATTAACCCTTTAGTTGCGAAAAACCCGAAGAGGAAGCCGGTGACGCAGCAACCGACGCAAGGCCCCCGGGGGTCGAACTCTGCGATCGCGAGAGAGGCGGAAGGGAAAACCTCGAAGGAACCAGAACAGCCGAGGAAGCGAAACCCGACCCGGCGGGTAGACCACCATCGTGAAGTTCAGGCTCTCGCACAGCCCCTCGAGCAACCGCCGGGTGACCCGAGGGCCCACCAGAAACAGACAAAGGTGGGACCGCAGCCGCAAGAGAGACTCCGGAGGGAGAGACAAGGAGGCGGTACGAGAGTCCCAAACGAGACCCAGCCAAGTCCGAACCTGAGAGGGAACCAGATGGGACTTCCTCCAGTTCACCAAGAACCCGAACCCGGCGAGCTGGGAAAGAACCAAATCCCTGGCTAGCAAGCAAGCTGACCGGCTGGGAGCCCAAACCAGCCAGTCGTCGAGGAAGGCCAACACCCGAATACCTAGGAGACACAAACGAGCCACCACAACCCGTGTAAGGTGCCAGGTTCAACCCGAACGGGAGCCAACGAAAGCAGTAACTCAAGACGCCCCACGATGCCCCACAACAAAACCGAGCCAGTCCCTGAACCGTGGATGAATCGGGACATGCCAATAAGCGTCCCGGAGGTCCAGGGACACCATCCAAGCGCCCGGCTCCAAGAGGAGCCGAACCTGAGACAGCGTAGTAATCCGAAAGGAGGGGCAATGAACCCAAGGGTTCAGACGGGACAAGTCCAGAATGAACCGCAGGTCCGCGCAGTCCCGTTTCGGAACTAGAAACAGACAGGAAACCCATCTGAGGGACGACGAAGTTTCGACGATGCAAAAGCGTACCCACTCCAAGACGACTCAACAGAGCGCAGGGGAAGAAACCTGCCCTGCCAGCCCCGACCCCTCCAAGGGGAAAAGAGCCACCCAACGCCACCGCAGACCGCCAGACACGACCCGAAAGGCCCATGAATCGTGGGACCAGGCATGGGCGAACAGCGCAAGCTGCCCCCCCATCACCCTGTCAATGGGGCAAACCGCGAAAGGGCCGGCGATCATTACGAGACCCAGAACTCCACACAGAGCGAACACCGCGCCGACCAGACGAGGGAGGGTCCACAAGAGCCGAACCCGAACCTGACACCAGTGGCCTCCCACGACGAGAGGAACCCCAAGCCCTGGCACGACCCTTCCGGGAAGACCCACCCCGGGACCCCCGGAAAACCAACAAGTCCGACATCGGACGACAAGCCGCCGATGCAGCCTGAATAAAGTGCGCCACGGCCGACTCCTCAAATAGAAGAGGACAAAAAGGAGAAGAACACCTAAGAGCCAGAGCCCAAGCAGATTCCACGGAGGAACCCAGCACCGTCTGCCGACACGCGAGACGGGAAGCATAAAACAGGGAAACCGCATCCCGCAAAATCGGCGTGAACAGCTTCAACAAGGCAGCCGATGAACGCGCAGCCGAGGACAAGGTGCCGGACCCCGGGATGGACCCAAGTGTCCTCACATCCTCCACGAGCCAATCCGAGGACAGCTCCAGGAGGGAAAAGAACCGCAAGGCCGAAGCCAAAAGGCCCCGGGCGCGCAAGTCCTCCGCAATGAGCGCCGCCGAAAGGGTGGGAACCTGCACATGGAGCTGAATAACGCCCACATCGCAGGGAAGGGCAGGGGCAAACAAGCACTCATTCAGGTACTCAAGATCGCACCCCAGGAAAACCTGAAGCACCGTGGAAGCTTCCCGCCACTCCAGCATGCGGGAACGACAGAAGGAATGCCAGGAATCCAGAACAAACAAGGGGCAGTCCGCTAGCCAGGAAAACTCCGGAACCTCGTAACGGAGCCAGAAAGGGAACGAAGTCCCAAACCAGAACTCGGACGGATCCATTTCTGAGGCATAATCCGGGTCACGCAGGAGGTAAGGTGCAAAGGCCACCCGCACCACACAAGGTTGGATGCGATAAGCCGAAAACCTCCGGAAAGACGGAACCGACGTACCCGGGAGGAACACGGAACTGAACCCGGGGAGGGGCCGACACCAAATCCAACTCGTACGCAGAGGGAGGGAAAGAAAACCACACTCCTTGTAACAATAAGCCCCGCTCAGAGGGAAGAAAAACTCAGGCAGAGTCTAGCGCGGCCCAAGGCCCCCAAGTCAGCCCCTCCCCAGCCTCGAGGTCCTTCACCACAGGACCCGAGGCCGAGTCCTCTCCCTAAGTCCCGACCCCACAAGACAAGGACAGAGCAGCCGGAAAAGCTGGAGGAAGGGAGGCCCACTGGTCGGACCCCGAAGCTTCAGCCGGGAGACAAGACTCGAATGCCTCTGCCGCCCCCCCCCGGAAGGGGCACCCCCCGAAGCTGCCCGAGTCTCGAGATCAAGTAACCCCTGCTCCGACCCCGAAACCCTCAGTCGCTTCGGGGCCGGAAGCAGGGGGGGGGGCCAGAACGAACAGAAGGGGAAAGACGAAGAGGTGCGGACTGAACCAGGATCGAAGCGACCCCCACCCCCAAGTCCGGGTCTCGAAAAGCAAAGCGGGGCAGCCCCGGGGCATCCGGGTGAGCAACCAACCAAGCGCATTGCAACAGACGAAACCTAGACTGCAACGCACGCGCCACCTGTACCCGAAGAGAATCATCAGAGGATTGGGTAAATTGAGTCACAAGCAAGCAGCAACACTCACAGGACTCATGGTCGAAAGTATCACCGACCCAAGAAGCAGCGTGGCAGAGGCAAAAATAATGAGGGGTCACCCTGAGACAAGGGGACCGAGCAACCCTCAAACTTGCACACAGCGAGTGGGGACTCCAGGGTCACATCCATCGGACCCACGCGCCCCCTAGGGGATTCCCAGGGTCCTGAGCGTTTAATTTACGAGGACTTGTGCTCAGGTAGTCCCAGGCAGGGCGCTGCTAACCGGCGCCCAAAACTACCAAGCGAACTTCTATAGCTGTACCCCAGGGACGTGTACACTCACGGGGACCTAGCAGGGGGCACTACCGAGGAGAACAGTGGAAGGGCAAAAACTAATGAAATAATAGGACAGAACCCCCCCCACCAGGCAAAAAGAAAAAGAAAAGCAAAACCCCGCAAGAGGACAGCAAACCCCAAGGAACAGAGCCTGCCACTATGTCGAGAATACAAGCTGTGCAGCACCCTGCGCCCCCACCAGTGCAAACTGCCTCTTACCTGCTGGTAACAAGGGAGATCAGAACACCCAAGAGCCCAACGGGCGGGCGAAAAACCGAAAGGTAAAATGGACCAGCAGAGGCAGACCCCGAGGAGCCTGTGGAAGGTGGCCCCAAGCCCCAAGGGCAGTACTTACAGGGCACCTAGGGAAGTAAGTAAGTAAGTAATTATCAAAAGAAGGCACCAAACCGGGAAGGCTATGTAGCACCATCAAATACGCAAAATAATCAGAGGGCGCTAAATATCACCAAGGATGCCAATACGAGAACAAAAACGCATAAGGCGAACGATATCAAAAGTATCCGAGTCACCAAGAATTCTATCGAGGGACAGGTGACCGCGAGGGGCGGTCGGAAAGCAAGACACACGCTCGTCCTGGAAGTCAGGACATTCAAGAAGGACATGCACGACCGTAAGAGGGACAATGCAACTAGGACAATAAGGAGCAGGGCGGAGGCACCTAGGGAAGGCAGCCCTAGGTGCATGCAGCCCGAGTACTGAAGATAACTCCTGGCTTTCGCACTCACAAAAACAAACACCACACGCAAAGCACAGTGCTGTAGCGACACCGGAGCCAGAGCACACGACCTTCACCTATAGCATCAGCCTCAAGAACTGAGGTGTGGGTAGCTGGCGTGGAGGGTCTGGGGCTTCCCCTTCCCCCTCCCGGGGAGGGGGGAGCTGCGCAGACAGCGGCGCAGCAGCGTGTGATGTCACACTAGTTTGCTTGTTTTCTGTTGGGGAGTTCTATCCACTAGTTCAGCTTTTGGTAGCAATTTTAACCAGAATAGGTGTTTGTTTTGAGGCGCTTACCTTTCTGGGTGCCTGTTCCGGTCGATGGCAGACATAGAATGCTTCCAACCACACGGGGGCATCTATAGGCCATTGCTTCCCTTGCCTCTCTGAGGGGGCCCGGTTCTGGCCGTGGTCCCCGGTAGGCCTAAGAACTCCATACACATGACTGATGCCAAAGTTTGACATTAGCATATCAGCCTGGGATAGCTCCAGGGAGCCGACGGGGCTCTCCCCAGAAAAAACAGACATGGATTGACAATTGAGGGGTAAGGTAGGTTACAGGGAATTTATTAGGTAGTGCTTCATTTTTATCTTAAACTGGTTGAGAGAGGTACAGTCTTTAACATGGTTGGGAAGGTCATTCCACATTCTGGGTCCCTTGATTTGTAGAGCATTTCTAGTTTGGTTAAGTCGTACTCTTGGAGTACAACTTAACCTATATATTATGAACCTATATATTATGTGAGAAATCTTTAAAGAATTCTAATAAAGAAAGAGATCTAGGGGTGGTTCTAGATAGAAAACTATCACCTGAGGACCACATAAAGAATATTGTGCGAGGAGCCTATGCCACGCTTTCTAACTACAGAATTGCTTTTAAATACATGGATGGCGATATACTAAAGAAATTGTTCACGACTTTTGTTAGGCCAAAGCTAGAATATACAGCGATTGTGTGGTGCCCATATCTTAAGAAGCACATCAACAAACTGGAAAAGGTGCAAAGACATGTTACTAAGTGGCTCCCAGA